GTTTTCCATGCAATTGCAGCTCCAAGCTGCCACAGGCTTGGAAGGTGAGGCCAGCTCAGATGTGTGAGGTTTCAAATTCTTACCACAAATTTGATTGACTCCTCAGTCTGAAGCAATAACTGTTGCTGAGAAGATTTTGCTGGAAGTTTTCTCCTGCTGTCGAGAACTCTGGGATTCCAGTACACTGGAAAAATAAAAGGCAATAATGCTAAACCCCACATCTTTCAAATCTCCTTTTAACATGGCAGAAGCAGTGGCTTTATTTCCTCCCTGCCTAATCCAAACATGCCTAAGGCAGCTTTGAATAACCTCGGCAAGAGAAGACTAAACATCTATTTAAGACCTGAAGGTAGGCTTAGTGTTTTACAAAAGGATGTAATTCTTGCTCTGCATGTTTTATAACGCAGGGAGAGAATTAAGAATTAATGTCTCAGACATTCCTGGTCTTGTCCATCTGTCTTGCATTACCGGATGGTCCTGATTAAATCAGGACACGGTCATTAATAATGACAACTGCCCACTGCTCCCAAAACCACTCTGTCACCTGAAGAGGGTGCACCCTCCACTGCCAACAGGTTGTAAGCAGATTGTTTCTACCATTTATTGTTTCAGCCCTTCAGAAGTAGCCCCATCTCAGTGAATTCTGGAAAATGCTGAAACACTGGGAGCAGCAGCACACCTGCCCATTCATTATCCAAGCACACCCCCCTCCTGCAGACACAACTTAATTACACAGCTTCTCCAGCTCCAGGACTGCCTGAAAGGTTTATCCCAGTCCCAGCCTTAGGGAGCAACTGCAGACTAATCATTTGAACCTCTCTCAGGAGAGTGTTCTTGTTGGCACTTCATGAAGAGCTGCTCAGCACAGCTGCAGCTCCAGGACACAGAATCCCAGAGTGGTTTGGGTTGCAAGGGACCACTGGGTGTCATCTCACCCCACCTCCCTGCTCCAGCAGGGTTCTCTGAGCACATTACACAGGGCTGTGTCCATCTCCAGAGAAGGAGATCCACAGCCTCTCTGGGCAGCTTGTTCCAGGCAATCCCATGGGAATTGCTTCCCCCTCCCTGCAGTCTCACTGCCCACCATGCAGCACTCCTGAGGTTTGCCTGGTCCCTCTACATAAGCTAAGCCAACATAAAGTCCTTTTTCCTGGTAACTTCTCGCCAATTTAATTCCTTGGATTCATTCTGGGGTCAGTCAAATGTGGCACTGGTGAGGAATAAAAGAGAGCAAGAAGGTTTCTCAGCAGCAGCTGCTTCTCAGAATCCCTCAGCTGTAACATTTCAAGACCATACTCCTGTTTTATGAGCAACTGGGAGTCTTTGCCTTGCAAGCACCAGCCCCTTTTCTTATACAATAAGAAAACACCTTTCATTCCTACCTCTTCAATCCCCACCCGGACCCTTTCTCTCCCACCTTCCTTTTCTTCCCCTCCCTCATTCTCAGCTTGTTAAGACTACAAAAGCACCATCTATTGTATTCCATCAGCTGGTAGGAGCCTCAGACAAGATCACACAGAGACAAGGGAAGGGCCTGAACTCCTCACATCAAAACACAAGGAGAGCTAAGTGGACTGGAGTGGATCATAAGGGGGAAAGTAGGAGTTTCTCACTAGAACAGATTAAAGCTGCCCCAGGGAGGCCAAAAGGCAGTGAAAGGAGGTAGAATCCAGGGCAGTTTGTAGAAGAATATTTAGGTGCAAGTCTAGCTGGTTGTTCTCTACACTCCTTGTTAACTGGGTACATTAATTATAAAGCACTCAGGTGTTTGGTGTTTGTCAGAATCAGCCTCTCTCAGGTACAAGTTCCCACTGCAGCCTTGGTGAGGTGATCCACAGTCAGCAGGGCAATAAGGACAGGACAGAACACCCAGGACCTTCAGCCTCCTACACCTCCCCTGTGCTCTGCCTACATATTTGCTTTTTACTTTTTAAAGCTCTGAGATCCCCCTCACACTGAACTTCAGCAGGTTGTCAGCTCTGCAAGCTGCTCACAATCTCCAGGACAACAAGAGTGATCAGAACCCTCAGGACTGAAATGAAAAGACCTGAATGAAACAAAATCAGAGTTGTCTGGGGCAAAGAGGAGGAGCCTGGAGGGGACATGTGACACAAGCATCCAATACATAATAATCCATCACATCACCAGGATGGTTTGGGTTGGAAGGGCCCTCAAAGTCCATCCTGTCCCACCACCTGCCGTGGCAGGGACACCTTCCACTATCCCAGGTTCTCCAAGTCCCATCCAACCTGGCCTTGGATACTGCCAGGGACAGGGCAGCACAACAGGACCTAAGAAGCTCAAGTCACTGCACAGAACATTTTAGATAAAGCCCACAAAAATCCCTGTAAAAGTAAACATGAGAGTACCGAGGGACACTGGGTCACTAAGAGTAGTTTGACAAAGACCTCCTGAACAGTCACAGGCTGTTCCCCTGCTTTGGGACAGAGTGACAAGTTCACATTTGTTAGAGGCCTCCCTCAGCTCTGCTGTCCTGCTTTCAGCTGGGATAGAGCTCATTGCCTTCCCAGCAGCTGGCACAGGCTGATTGTGGATTTAGGATGAGAGGAATGCTGATAACACACTGATGCTTTGGTTGCTGCTATCCAGTGCTTACCCTAAATCAAGGACTTTGCAGCTTCCCATGCTCTGCTAGCAAGGAGGTGCCCAAGAGGCCAGGGGGGAGCTGACCCAAACTGGCCAGAGGGATGTTCCATCCCACTGAGTATGGAACTGATAGACTCCCAGTGTATGAACTGGGGAGCATGGCTGGGAGGTGCCAATCATGCCTTGGACATGAGATGGGAATCAGCAGCATGGGAATCAAAAGCAACCATGTTGCTTTTGAGTTTCTTTTGGGTTTATTTTCTCATGATAATAATTATTATCATTATATTTCACTTTGCTTCAATAATTAAATTGTTCTTACCTCAAGCCATGAGGTTTTTTACTTTCTTTTCTGATTCTCCTCCCCATCCCACAGGGATGGAGCAGGGAAGAGCAGCAGCCTGGTACTTGGTAACCAGCTGGGGTCAAGCTGTGACACTTGTGAGACTGCTGTTATTATTATTATTAGTAATAAATTTAATCCATCAGCACCCAACTATTCATCAGAGTTAGAGCTGTAGAGTGCTGGGGCACAGAGCAGGCAGCAAACCCCACACTGCCCTGGATTTGGAGTTTGCTATTTGAGCAAATCAGAAGGCAGCGAAAAAATAAACTTAGTATGAAAACTGATGCAAAAAGCACCTTAGAGCCACACTACAATAAACGGGAGGTGGTTTGAGAAGCAACCAGCCCCCACCACAGAAGAAATGCAACACTGCCTGTTAACACCCTCAGCAGGCACTGCTCAGCTCCAGGCTCTGCTCAAGTCACTCTCTCACATCCCCTCCCACAAGCACAGGTGACATCCACACGTGTCCTTCTGTCCCAAAATAGGGACACCCAGGGCACCACAAGTGTGGAGGCTGCTGGAGGCTCCAACTGAGCCAGCAAACTGACAAGAGAGAGTCACGGAATATCCTGAGTGGGAAGGGACCCCCAGGGATCATCCAGCCCTGCACAGACACCCCAACAATCCCACCCTGTGCCTGGCATTGTCCAAGCATCCATGGAGCTCTGGCAGCCTCGGGCTGTGCCCATTCCCTGGGGAGCCTGGGCAGTGCCCAGCACCCTCTGGGGGATGAACCTTTCCCAAAATCCAGCCTGACCCTGCCCTGACCCCAGCCATTCCCTGTCCCTGTCCCAGAGACTGGAGCTGCCCCTCGGGAGGAGCTGCAGCCCCCCCTGAGCTCTGCTCTCAGTCTCCTCCTCCAGCTGAACAATCCAAGTGCCCTCAGCTGCTCCTCAGACCCTTCCTGTGCCCTTGTCCCTCCTCTGGACACTCCAACAGCTTCAGATCCCTCTGATATTGTGGCTGCCCCCAGGATTCCAGGTGAGGCCCCACCAGGGCAGAGCAGAGCAGGAACACATTCCCCTTCTGCTCCTGACTTTGCTCTATTTCTACTAAACCAGCAGCAACTTATCGGAGACACTAAAAGAAGCCTCCTTACATCCCTTTTTAGGTGCAATTGTTCCCAGCTCAGCCACAACAGGAACCAGAACATCTCATTTTTGTATTATATCATTCCCTGACCGACTCAGCCAGCACAAATCACAGCTGCAGGAACCACACCAGGCTCCTGAGGTGGGTGAGAGAAAACATTCCTGGATCCACAACACTCGAGGTCAATCCTACCCACATCTGTTGAAAATACACAAAATACACCAAGCTCCTGGACTCAACCACCTTAAAGGTCCTTTCCTCAGCTTAAGTGAGGAAAGGACCTCACTTGAGCTGAGTGATTCTACCACAAGCCCGTCACTCTGAGGCACATTAAAGCACATCACACAGTCTCAGAAAAACGAGGTAAGAGGCACAAAAGCACTCGAGCAGCCACATTAGGGAGCACAGTGCCCGTGCCAGGGCCGTGCCCGCCAAGGCAGCCGGACCCGGCACCCGCGGGCTCGGCCCGGGCTCGCTCCGCTCACACAACAACGCACCTGAGGCGCACGCAGCGGCTGGAGCGGCCACAGCGGCCGCCACACGGCTGTTACCGAACATCTCCCAGCGACACGGCTCCGGGGCCGTTACCCCCACACCGCCCTCGCGGCCCTGCCAGCAGCGCAGCCTCAGCATCGCAGACCTCAGCGAGCGGGGAGGAACGGCCGCGGGCACAGCGAGAACGGGGAGTGCCCGGGGCCGGCCCCAGAGGTGAGTGCCGCCGCTGCGGCTCCTCGCCGCCGTCCTGTCCCGCCCCAGCCCCGCCGCTCCCTCACCTGCGCCCCGGTGAGCGCCGCCGCCGGAACTAGTCTGGGACACGCAGGGCATGCCGGGAGCGCCCCCGCCCTCACGGCCTGTGGACTACAACACCCAAGAGCCCCCGCGGGGCCGGACCAATGGGAGGAGCCCGTTCGGGGGGCGGGGCGAAGGACAGCCAATGGGGTTAGGCTGGCTGCGGACGGTTGCGGCGAGCAGCCCCCGAGGACGCGGCCCCGCAGCGCTGCCCCCGGCCCTGCGCTCGTCCCGGTGCCGCCGGTTCGCTGTGCCCGCGGCCCGGCCCGGCCCGGCGCTGAGCGGGGCGGTGGGCGCCGTGAGTGAGGGCCGGGGAGCGGGGCGGGGCCGGGAGCGGGGCCGCGTTGCCATGGGGACGGCGCGGGCGCCATTGCGGAGCTGTGAGCGGGGCCCCTCAGGCGAGCCCCGTCCGTGCCCCGGGGCCGTGCGGGCGCAGCCCCGAAGCCGAGCTCTGCCTCCCACCACCGCGGGTCTCCTCACCGCTTCTCCTTCCCAGCAAACGCCAGCTCTGGTGGCAAGGAGAAGCTCAGGGTTTCAAGTCTCAGAATCATGGAGTCGTTAAGGCTGGAGAAGACCTCCAAGATGACCAAGTCCAGCGTTCCACCTGCCACCTCCGTGCCAAGCTCTCCAGAAAGTGCCTCTTGTGCTACTGCTAAGTGTTTGTTTCGGACACAGAGCACTGTGTGCTCCACAGCAATTAGCTGACTTGACCAGTCAGATGCAGTATCCATCCATAACCCTGGGATATTTATCTTGGAATTGGCACACGGAGCCATCTAGGCAGTTTGTTTTATCCCCATGGGCCTCTCTGACCCTTGGCAAGCTCTGCTCAGTGTCAGAGCACAGTGCTCCAGCCATGAGGATTTCCCTCTTTCCTATCTAAGTGAAATTCAGGGATTGTCTCACACCAACAAAAACACCATGGATGAGACCTATAAAGTATCTACAGAGGCAATTTGCAAGTTATAAACTTTAGTTGAGTTTAACTTCATTTTCTGAGGAGTGTTCCTGGCCAATGCAGATAACTGTCAGTGTCATCCCTTGAACAGTGGTTTCAGTTGTGAACAACATTTAGGAATTTGGCACACGAAGCCATCCCAGGCAGTTTGTTTTATCCCCATGGGCCTCTCTGACCCTTGGCAAGCTCTGCTCAGTGTCAGAGCACAGTGCTCCAGCCATGAGGATTTCCCTCTTTCCTATCTAAGTGAAATTCAGGGATTGTCTCACACCAACAAAAACACCATGGATGAGACCTATAAAGTATCTACAGAGGCAATTTGCAAGTTATAAACTTTAGTTGAGTTTAACTTCATGTTCTGAGGAGTGTTCCTGGCCAATGCAGATAACTGTCAGTGTCATCCCTTGAACAGTGGTTTCAGTTGTGAACAACATTTAGAATGATAAAAATGTGATAAAATAATCACATTGTTCCTTCAGTGATGAACATAAATCCATGGAATCACAGAATGGTTTGGGTTGGAATAATGAGCACATGTAAGAAACACAAAGTCACCAACCTCCCATGGTTCTTGTGGGTCTCTTCCAACCCTGGGTGTTCTGTGATTTCTGAGGAGTGTTCCTGGCCAATGCAGACAACTCAGTGTGATCCCTTGAACAGTGATTTCAGTAGTGAACAACACTTAGAATAATAAAAATGTGATAAAATAATCACATTGTTCCTTCAGTGATGAACATAAATCCATGGAATCACAGAATGGTTTGGGTTGGAATAATGAGCACATGTAAGAAACACAAAGTCACCAACCTCCCATGGTCCTTGTGGGTCTCTTCCAACCCTGGGTGTTCTGTGAAACCTCTGAACCAGAAATAATTCCCTCTCATGTTTGACTGCCCAGAAAACCATGTGATTGTAGCATAAAATGTAAAGTTTTTCTGTGAGGGTGAATGATCTGACCTCTTAGGTCAGCTGCAGTTCCTACTGTGCTGTCTCAACTTCTCATGGACATCAAGGAACAGGAGGAAAGAATCCACTTTAGAAACACTTTGAGAGGTCAAAAATCCATGAATGTGCCTATTCTTAACTATTTTTTAAAAATAAAAATCCAGTGAAAACAAAAGTCAACATGAATCACGTGGAAGGTTCTCTGCCCATGGCAGGTGGGTAGAACAAGTCTTTAAGCTCCATTCCAACCCAAACCATTATGAGATTCTATGACTTTGTGATCATTTTATCTGTCCTTTAGGTAGGGGGGAGGGGAATGTGAGGGAAATTGGGAAGAGGAGTCAATCCAGCTGAGAGCAGGGGTGTCAGCCTGCCTTTGCTCTGTTCCTGTCCCATCCCTGCAGGCAGAACATGGCAACATGCTTGGAGAGGACACAGTTACAGCACTCTGGCTAAGAATCCAAAAAAAATCTTTATAAATGAGCCCTGAGGTATGTGTGGTGAGTAGGGCAGAAAGCTCTCAGCCCTCTCTGAACTCAGGTGGAAAGGAATAACTCCAAAAATGCAGATTTTAACATTCCCTGCTGGGAGTGCTGGGAATTCCTCTGCCCTGACCACACACACTTTGTCCTTGTTTCAACTGATGTTATCTCATGTTTGGAGAGGTGTCCTTAGGCTCATCTTTCCTTTGCTCCAAGGGAAGCTGTCCCAATGGCCTCAGAAGCACAAAGTGAGGATGCAGAACATGCAGCTGAGCCTCCTGCAGCTCCTGTGCAGGGGGACAGGACATTCCAGTGGGGAGCCATCCTTGCTGCAGTGAAAGACCAACTCCCATCCCTGGACTCTGACTCCTCCACAGTAAGCACCGAAATTCTGCCTTTCTTCCCTCTGGATCATGGGGAAAAAACTCTCAAAGGCAAGAGCAGGTGACCTCATCAGGCATTTTGGGGTGGCTGGTGTGGTGTCCTGGGTGGGCTGCCTGTCCTGACTACAGGACACTGTGTTAATCCACAGCCTTCTGGATTAGCCTTAATTACCAGAGTGTGATTGCCACCTCCTCTCCCTGTATTCTTTGGATTCTGCCCCACCTGCAGAGCTGCCTCCAGCCCTGGGGCCTGGAGCTGCTGGGGCAAGTCCAGAGGAGGCTCCAGGATGATCAGAGTATTTTGGATTATTTTGTGCTTGAGGCTGGTTCTCCACAAGGCATGTGGCTTTTTTGTGCTTTTTACCTGCCAAAGAAGCATAATTGCAGAAACCTTTTCATATGAGGTGTGAGACTGAGAGGTGTGTGCAGTGTTCTTCCCTGGTACAGGTTTTTCACTTGCTGGGTCTGGGCCAGGTTGTTCTTGGCTGCTGAAATCTCTGCTCACAGGACAGCATTGCTCTGGTGCTGCTCTCTAGTCCAAGATGATCTGGCATCGACTTTTCTGAGGGGATAATGTGTCTCAAGGTTTGATTATTCGTGGCTTTTTGTCCAGATCACAACATTGTGTTAATTTTCAAGCATGTATAAACTTGAAAAACGTTTTGAACACACAAAGGATGTATTTTATCCCAATTTAGTGTAGCCATCAATGGCACAGGGGGAGATTGTGAGATGTGAAAGAGCTAGAAAGGCCTCCAGGGTATTCATTATTTATAATTTTCATTTGTTTTTTATTATTAATTATTTATTATTTATTATTTATCAATGATCCAAAGCAGTGTGATCTGCTGGATAAAGTGTTGATAGGGATTCCATGACTTGGATTCTGCACTTGGATCTCTCACTGTCATGCTGGACAAGCCACATTCCCTCACTGTTCTCAGTTCCCTCTACCTACACTGTTTTAATTATTTAGAACAACTCTGGTGTATTAACATGTGTCTCTGTAGTACAGATGAAGACCCAACACTGAAATTATTTGTAGGTTTTCTTGTTCAGTAAATTAAACCAGGCTAAGCCAGAGGAGCAGCTCCAGATTTTGGTGCCAAAAACCATTGAATAACCCCAAATCATGCTGAACATTTTTTTCACTCTTTACAATCTCCGAATTCTCTGTTTCTATCCCACATGGAAAAGATTTCCTGCAGAAGGAACTGAGGCAATCTGTCTGGCACTTCATTTGCATTCAAAAGATCTGCTTGTGTAATCCCTGTCCTGCTGAGGCTGCAGTTCCAGGGCTGCACCTTTGTCCGAGGAATTTCCACGTGGGAAAGATCCATTTGTGCATCCAAGAGCTGTCATCTGAACGTGCTCTGCTCCCACCTCCAAAAATGGCACTCACAAATGTGTTTTGTGCCCCGAAGCCCTTTCATTACCCTGCTATGCAATTTATTAAGAGGAAAGATGTTCTGTTGCAGTTGGTTTCGTGTTAATGACACCAGAGAGGATTCTCTGCAGTGTGAAGTCCCAAAAATGCACACTTGCAAAACAAAGGGACAAGCAGGAAAGCTGTGTCCTGACTGCTGAGGAGGTGCTTAATCTCCTTTTGGTGTCCATGCATAAGGATTCATCTCCAGTGCATATCTGATGTTTAAAAAAGGGATTTTCAGAGCTATCTAAATGCTGCCCAACCAAACACAGATGCTGTTTGCATTCTGAACAGGAATCAGGCTCCTGAGGGCAGTGAAAAGCCTTCATGGCCCTGCCTGGCCTCACCTGGGGCTCCAACACCTCTATTTGAGCTCAACTCTGGCCCTTCCCCCCCTCTCAGAGCTATGTTAGGGGAATTTTGGTTGCTAGTTATGGTCCTGCCTGAGCCAGATTTTCACCTGTGAATTGACTTTCAGCCTTGATCTCTGACCAGCCTCATCACTCCCAGATTGCCCAAGGATCTGGAGTTGTGCCTCAGCCTGGTTGCTCCCCTGCTCTGTCCTGCTTGTTCCTCTTGGGTGCTGTGGGACTGGGCTTTGCCTGGTGTGGCCTTACCTTTCCAGTCCCTGAGAATCCCAGAATTTTTTGGGTTGGAGGGATCTTAGAGCTCATTGAGTTCCCCCCCTGCCATGGCAGGGACACCTCCCACTGTCCCAGGCTGCTCCAAGCCCTGCCCAGCCTGGCCTTGGGCACTGCCAGGGATCCAGGGGCAGCCCCAGCTGCTCTGGGCACCCTGTGCCAGGGCCTGCCCACCCTCACAGGGAACAATTCCTTCCCAATATCCCATCCAGCCCTGCCCTCTGGCAGTGGGAAGCCATTCCCTGTGTCCTGGCACTCCAGGCCCTTGTAAATATTGAGCAGCTCTGCTCCTGCCTCTCTGGGGTAGTGCAGAGAATCACTTGGGAATTAAAGAACTCCCCACACTTTCCATTGCTTTTCTCAGCAGCATGTTTGTCATCACCCTCCAAGGGAATTTGATGTTTTGCATGTTTTTTTACGTTTGGAGCTTGCTGAAATGTGGGGTTGGTGACTCTTGGGCTAGCAGACTGTCTCGTAAAGGTGTGACTGCAAGGAAACCTCTTGTCTCTGCACTTCAAGAGGTGCCAACATGGGAGCTGTCACTGCAAACCAGATATTCCAATATCACTGAGTATTTCAGTGTCCTGTTTAATTTCTCTTTTTTTTCTCTGTTTGCAGTCTGATTGTGAGAATGATGAGGAGCTTTTCATCTTCCAGAGGGACCTGCCCAACTTAATTCCAGACCTGTCGGAAGAACTGATGATGTTTTCCCTGGAAGACTCCCAGGAGCAGGTTGGGACTGTTGTGTGTGGCCTGTCCTGTCACCCCTCTGTTCTGGCTGTCCCCAGTGTGAGCAGCTGCTGATGTCTGACCTATTTGTCTGAACAGGCAAAGCTTAGTCCTCAGTATTTTCTCTCACTAGGAAGTAGAACATTTTTTTCTCTTTTTGCAGTGGCCCTTTAAAGTTTTATCTGTTCTTGAGATTTTGGACCTTTTTTGTCCCATCTCTTGGCAGTTTTTATTGTCCCTTTACTGTTTTTCTTTCCTGTACATTAATTTTTCCTGTGCACTAATTCCTGTGCAATCATTCTATGTGTCCAGAAAATTAAATAGGACAGTGCAGGAAAGAGGAAAATTTTGAAGTTTACCCTTTGAACAGCTTTTCTGGAATAAAAGAATCACATTGTTCCTTCAGTCAAGATAAATCCATGAAATCACACGTGGTTTGGGTTGGAATAATGAGCACATGTAAGAAAAAGTAATTTAAAGGATGTTTAGCAGTTTCAGAAATTAAAGTTTTTGGAAAGTAAACAGTCTCACTGTTTTCCATGAGGGATGTGGTGTGGGTTGTTTCCATATGGTATCTGAGTTGGAGCTGTTGCCTTCCAATCACTCTGTTTTGGTTTTCTATCCACTTCCAAAGCCAGGGAGATTGACTTTCTCTATGTTTGTGCTTTCTGTACCTGTAGCAAATCCAGGAGACAGAAAGACTTCCATGGGAGATCTGGAACAGAAACCTAGAAAGTTTTGACTTTCAGGAAAAAACAGATGGTGCCCAAATCATTGCAAAAGAAGATGTACAAATTATTAAAGATGAGGCTTCTGAACCTGTCAGCCAGACTGAAGAAATGCCAAGCCAAAAGAGAGCTGTTATTGAAGAATCTCCCTCAGATTCCACAGATCACCTTGAGGAGAAAGAAATGGGCAGGACACAGGCCAAGGAAAGAGTGAACTCCTGGCCTAACACAGCAGTGTCTGTGCAAGAGCTCTCCAGTAAAGAGGAGAGAAAAAAGCTGATAGAGACAAAGATACTCCACAAGATCCTTGTGGAGCCACCCCCAAAGCAGGATGTCAAGCCTCCCTCCCATGGCATCAACAACTGCCTAGGAACACTTGCAAAGGAGGAAACCTCTTCAGCTGAGTATCTTGGAGAAGTGACCCGTTTGTTATTGCAGGCAAGTGGCCCTAAAATAAAGCTGCAGGTGGGCTGGGGGCACAGTGCAGTGCCTGTGTAACCCCACTGCAGCGAGGAGCTGAATCCCACTTCTGACACTCCACAGGGCTCTGTGATACACAAGTACCAAAAGCTGCCCCAGAGCTGTGAGTGCAAGTCCAAACCATGGCAAAAGCCATGGATCTGCAGCAAGGTCCAGGAAGTGTTAGGGAAGCCAACCACAGCACCTGTCCTGGGAAGGCAGGGAGTTTTTCAGGTCCCAGGCAGAATTGCATTAAAACAGGGAGCTTGCTGGCCTTCCAATGGGGTGCTGGAGGTGAGGAGGTGTTTAGGGCTGTTCCTGAAGTCCTAAATCTCACCCACCTAAGGCAGGTGGGATGAGCAGCTCAGTGTTAAATGGAATGTGGCTCAGAGTCAGGGTGGTTTTCTTCAGCACTGAGTTACAGATTTTCCTGTATTGATTTTTAAGTTCATTAGGACTTAATCAGCAGAGAACAGGTCCTGATCTTTCTGTTCAAAGCCTTCCACAGGTCAGAGTACAGATGTTTCCCTTCCCCTTTCATGTATTCACAGAAATGAACGTTTTGATCTTAGAGCTGTTCCAGTCCAGGCCAATCATGCAGCTGCTGGCCTGTGAGTTAAATTGTGCTGCATCACTGAAGGACATCTTTTTCAAGTGGGTCTGGATGTAATTCCCAGCTCACCTCACAGAATTCAGTCTCTGTTCATTCAGGAAGCACTACTTGCCTTTCAGAACCTGTTTGATGTCAGTGACTTCAATGAGCTGAAGTTTGGTGCTTTGGGGTGAGTTCTGAGACCAGACTCAGTGAATTCTCACTTTCATTTGGAAGGAGGTTGTTGTTCCCTAGCTCAGCCAGGCACCTCAGTTTGTGTCACGTTGCTAAACCTAATCTACAGTTTCTTCTTGACTCCTATCAGTTAATTTGATTTTTTTTCTTAAGTTCCTTTCTGTATTTGAAATGGAATTGTGCAAACCTTCCCTTCTATTTCTTCTGGACCTTCTGGAACTTAAACCAGTGCTGTAGTGTTAGAATAGATCTAATTAAGGTTCAGATATGTGTGAAGATTTATTGCTCAGGAAGGAGGGAGAACCTTCTTTCAACAAGAGGGGGAGATGTTGGTGGTTTTACAAGGTGAAACTGCTGGGTTTGGAGGCTGCTTCTGTTTTTTTAAAGGCCATGAGTGGTTGTGTTAAATGCATATTTGTGGCAGTGGTGTCATTGTCACGACTCACAGCCCCCTTCCTTTCAATAAAACTCATAAGTACTTCTAATTTCTGGTGATGATATTTCACATGGGTGTGGATTCCTTTCAATAAAACTTCAATTTCAAATAGTATTGAGAGGGGAAAGCAATGAGTGGTTTAAAAGCATGTGGACTTTGATGGCAGCCTTTGCACCTGAGTCAGGTGAGTGTGTCCTCAGCCAGGGATTCAGAGCAAGGAAATGGAGGATCCACTCTTCAGGGTGGGGTGAGCAGCTGTGAGATATCATCTGATACTGACTGTACCCACAGCAATAGGAATTTACCCTGCTCAGAAGTTGGAGTGGGAGGAAAGGGCTCTTCTCAAAGAACTAAAGAGCCACAAGTCCTTCTCCTGTGGGTGGCAGTGAGAAGTTCTCACATTATTCAGGATCAGAATGCACATGCTTGGCCTTGTATCTGGCCACTTTTTAATCTGTTCCACTGTCTCCGGTGATTTTTTGAAGTCTTATGAAAAGGGTTCATGATTCTCAGAGAAAAAGCCTCAGCAGAAGTAGCTGAAGCAGCTGGAGGGATGCAATAAATGCATTCCTTTCCTTACAGCACTTCCTCTGGAACAGCTGAAAGCAAGCTGGCACTGAAATTAGGGGTGGTCTTTTGGGAGTCAACTTTCCATCATGTTTCTCTTGTCTTCTTTCAGAATATTGAGAAATGGGATGTAGACAAGAATCTTGAGGAGCTGGAGCAGCAGGGAAATAAAACTTGTGCAGAAGTTGCTTTCTTCCCAGCAGATTATGGTAATGTCACTAGTTGAAAGTGCATAAAAATAAATAAAACTCAGGTTCCTGTATGTAAGTTATTCTCTGCAGCATAATTTTGAATGCAGAAATCATAGTGGGTTTTTTAAATGCTTCTAAAACATGTTTAATTAGCTTCCCTCAAGATTTCATCTAGGTTTCTTAGCCTGAAGCCAGTTCTTCTCAGCCTGCCACGGGCCAGACAAGGCAGTTACAATATTATCTGTATCCTTCCCCTGCTGCCAGGCTGTAGGAACAGGAACAGTGTGAACACGGGGAATGTTGGGTGCTTTCATGGCAGAAGACCACAAGTGATGATTATTTTGCTGCTCTTCCACAGAGACCTTCAGGAGGAAGTGTGAAGATGAGCTCATGGAAAGGCTGGGAGAGCTGTGTGCCAGGCAGTCCAGGGCAGTGTCCCCTGCCTGTGAGAGGCCATCAGCAAAGCTCTGCTCCTTCCAGGGACAGCAGGACAACAAGTGAGTCCTTTTCTGTCACATATCCCAGCTCATCCTGGCTGCCAGAGTGGATACTGGGGAACTCCTGGACTTCCACAGGGGTTTTTCTCTGTAGCCTTGCAGAAAGCTGATATTGGAGTTGGGATACTCAGTCCTTCATTTCAATTTGATGACAAACACCTTGGCATTCTCCATCAACCTTTGTCTAAACCTTACCAGGCACTTGGGATAAATGGGAAAGGCAGGAAAATGAGGCTAATCCTGCTCAGATTTTTTTGTCATCTAGGGTACCAATTTCTCTTACTGGTACCTCAGTTGAGCAAAAATACACAGGATGATTTTCTGTGGGTATCAGTGGAGATGTCAGTGCTTCTTGGAGGTTTCTGTGTGATGGAAGAACATTTTCAGGCTGTTCAGAGGGAACCACATCAATTGTGGCAGCACAGAGGAAATAATGAGTGAAACAGTGGAGGGGAAGGTGGGAAATGTACTCATTGCCAGAGCAGGGAGAGCCACGAGGATGATTTGTACTTTGTATACCTGGGAAGATAAAATGGAATTACCAGAAGAGGCAGAGAGGAAAGGGAAACTTGTTCTTACAATGAGAAGTTAAAAGTTGTGATGTCTCTGGTGCCTGCCTTTGTTCTCCAGAACAATTTGGTGGTGTCACATTTTGAGAACTAAACATCCCTCTTCATCCTGCCTGTGATCTGTGCTCCTGGGGGAAGCTGAATCCTTGAATTCTGACAGTAGGCAGTAGCAGAGTTGGAATCTGTGTGGTAGCCAAGCACAAAGCTCCTTTCTCAGTCCAGTTTTGATCCTAAGGCACTCCCTGCAGGGTTCCTTGGCTGGATAAGGCAGAGGATGTGCTGAGATGGTGTTTTCTGTGTGTAGGGATGTTGCCTTGCTGTCATCCCCACCAAGTTCTCTGAGGATGGGCAGGATGAGTTTCCAGGGCCTGCCAAAACCTGCAACTGTGTACATAGATTTGAGAGATGCTGAGCCACCAAAGTCAGTGACAGTCCCTGAAGAGGAGCAAAGGTAAATCCTGGCTTTATTGGGAGTGAGAAATAAGTAATAAAAAGTGAGAAACTTAAACCTTTTGAATCTCATGCTTGTGAAATGTAACTTTAAAAACATTCTTTCACGCCTCTGTCATAAGGAGAAACCTTGTATTTAATAAATAGCTACTAGATAATAAACAGGTAAACATTTTGTCCTAGTTGCTTGAATATTTGAGTTTTCTTTTTGCTAGAGTAATAGTGTGAAGGACTCTCCATAACACCCTGAGGTCTTCCCTGGAAGTATCTCTCTCTTTTTCCTCATTTTCTAAATTTGCATCCTAGAAATGACCAAAAGACAACACTCAGCTGGAACAGGGTTAAGTAATATGGTCTGATTGTTTCACAGGGCAAGTGACAGCTCCTCCTCTGAAGAAGAAGAAGAAGAGAATGAGACAATTAGGGATGAAGCAGAAAGGAGAATGTAAGATTCTTTACCAGGACTGTGTTCCAAGTGATATGATATCCATTTTTTCTGAAACTAAAATAATTGCTCTAGCAATGATCAGAGTGAATGTTTGTGTACTTAAATATTGCCATTCCTGATCTTCACAGTAAAAAAAAAAAAAGCCCAGTAGTGAAAGTGCTCCAGTGTGGCCCCAGGAGGTCACTCTTTTCCTGTTGCATGGTAAAGCTACCAAAGGTAGAAAGTTGTTGATCCTTGAGGCAATATTTACACTGTCCAGCTCAAAACACAGCCAGAGGTGCCCTTGGGGCTGGAAAATGTGAGTTTTTCTCCAGCCCTGTGTGAGTGACACCAGAACTGTGTTTGACAAGACTCAGAACCAAACTTTGGAAATGTTGTAGGGACTTGACTCAGACAAACCTTCATTTTTAAATAATAAAATGGGCTAGAATAGATAGAGATTTAAAGAGAATATTGATTACATTGTATGGGCAGGGACCCTCCAAATTCTCCCAATTGGAGGGGAAAGGGGAGAGAGTGGGATGGGTGGAATCCTAAAGTGTGAACTCCTCAACATGCACAGATGCCAGCCTTTTCTTGCTAAACTCCTGGGTTCATATCCATAGGTTATTAGACATTTGTTTAATGTGAAGCAGAGGTGTCAGCTTTCAGCATCCTCCTGCACTCATGCTCTGGGTTCCATTTGGAATTCTGCAGCCTGCAAGTTCAAGCCACAGCAGGGCAGGGGACAAGCAGAACATGTGTCTTCTTGTGCCAGCCACCTACATTTCTTTTAATGGTTTGGAAGAAGAGATGATTTGACAAGGAAGCCAAACAATGAGCCAAACAAGAAGCCCAAACAATGTAATTTAGAACATCTAACCCCAAACCAGTAAAAGGCAGGGACAAGGGGATACCTGGGGAGCTCTCCATGGCACTGACACAAGTTCAGCTGTTCCATCAGTCTAAATCTGCAGTGATGGAGAGCAGAGCTTGGATTTTGATTAATTTAATGTTGCTAAAGGACATGCACAAATGTAATGCCTGGCAAATGCTGCTGAGTTCTGGTTGTAAATAAGAAATCTTCTTGGTCTCAGCAGGGCAGGATTCTGATCTCATTTGTGAAGTGTCTATCCAGTTTCATTTTTATCTGGAACAAATTATTAAACAGGAATTATTATTCTGTGCATGTAGATTATGTCAGGACAGGACATTCCACTACCACAGTAATGTGCTTGCTGACAGTTTAGCAGTCACATTCAGGAAATTAAGCCAAACATTCAAAAACTGTAATAATTATTAGAAAAAGTTTTTGTCTGTGTGTATTTGAACCCCAACTCCTGTATTCAAAGGGGACAAAAATCTATAGGCTCTGATTTCCATGCCAACCATACATTTGTTCAGGCCTGTTCTGGTAGGTGTTTGTGTTGTGTCTGAAAGCAGAAGAGGTAAATAAATTGCCAGGAAGATGAATTTTGTGTTCTGGCTCTGCTTGTGTCTCCTGAGTGTTGGTGCTACTGTCACCCCCAGTTATCGTTGCTGTAGATGCTCAGTCCTTGTATTGAGCTCTCATTGTAAGTGAAGTTCCTCAGAGATTGACTTTGTTCCTATAATGCTTTATCTTGATGAAATCAGGGCTTTATTTCCTTTGCAGGAGGAATTGCTCAGGGAAGAGCCTGTTACTGCAACAACTCCGAGCAGCCCGTAAGGAGGCCTTGGAGCTTCTTCATAAAACCTCTGTTCCAGCTGAGAAACTGCATCCAGAAAGGCTGGAAGACACACCTTCCTCTAATAAAAGTCAAAACCAATCTTGTAAAGCAAGGCAAGAGACAAATGAGGTGGTTCCCATGAAACTGATGAGATTGGAACCAGGCACAGAAAGTCCCCCCTTTTCAAGCTGTGTGGGCAATGGAGCTGACACAGAGAAGGAGAACAAAGTGGAAGCTGAGAAGATTCAAAATGCAGGAAATGCTCCAGAGTGTCCTGTAATTACAGAACTGCCAAGGTATCCCACAGGAAAAGTAATCAGAGCCTTTGGATGTGGCTTCTCTAATTGTCCAGGACTAAAGAAAATTGCTTACCTGGGCTGTGAGTTGGAGCAAGAGGGTGTCTGGATTTGTTACCTGGCAAGAACAACAGTCCTGGCAGCTCCTGCTGGAAGGTTTAGAGGCAGCCTCAGTGGGGCCTGGCATTAGATGAGCTATGGCACTTCTGACATTGGAAATGGAGCCTTTTTCTTTAGCTTTTATTCTACAGAAGAGGAGGATAACACAGTATTGATCTTCTTTAGGAACAACAGCATTGAGGATTGCTAAGCACAGCTTCCTAGAAAATAGGTCTGGAAGGGTCAGTCTCCCTGTGCCAATAAAGAGTGAGGTAAAATCTAATATCTCCTGGCAGATCTTTATAGAACTTGGTCTTGAAATCCTCAGTGGTGAGGATTCCTTGGCTCCCAGGTAGTACATTTTGCTGTTTAATTATCCTTAGAGTTGTAAAGCTTTTCATTAAGTCTAATTTAAATTATTCCCTCTCCAATTTAAGCTTATTTTTGTTGTGTTCCCAGAAGGAATGGAAAATGGTTTATTCTGTGTCTCAGTTTAAAACACCTTTTACAAACTGGAAGATGTATCAGTCTCCCCTTGTAATTCTTTTCTTCCAAAGAAAGGAATTCTGACTCTTTGCCAACAAGAAAAGTGCAAGATCTTGGAGTTACAAAGTACACCCACGAGGAATGCCACAGGAATATCTTGGAGAGCTTTAAAAAATAGAAATAAGAGTGATATCAATTGAGGAAATTGCAGAGTTTTTTGGGCCTCTGCCTCCCTGGGCTTAGTTAAATGTAGTGTATTCTGCAGAAGGTCTAATTTCAAAGTGAAATCAGGTGGTTGCCTTGTGCACCTGCCCAACTGTTTGGGAGAGCTCCATTATGCTGCCTTTTCAAAGGTTATATCCTGCTATTTTCAGAGTGAAATTTAACATTCTGACTTTGACATATGAGTCCTGGCAAGAATCAGGATCTGCCTGCTCTGGAGACTGTTACTGTGTCAGAGTTAAACACGTGCCTGCCCTGCCATTTAGACACCTCAGTTCCTGTGTACCTGCTTTAAATGGCAGGTGGTTGCTTGCAGGGTTTTTTCCCTCTGGAATTCCTGACATTAAGCTCATTGCTTCCATCAGGAATACTAAACTCCATTCTCATTACCTGTTAGCCTGAGATGGCAGCCCATGGCCAGGCAAGAATGTGGGTTATTTACTGTCTCTGAGTGATAATTCAGTGATTTTCACTGATTTCACTTTTCTCTCTTGCTGTTCTAATTATTGCTGGGGCACCTGGGGCCGGAAGAATTTGGAAAAAATTGACCTTTGTGTTTGCCACAGAAATGGCAGATGAAATCTCCCTGTGGGCATCCGGGTGTAGAAAGATGGGAGGTCTTGGGGTCAGGGGAACTTTATATCTGTCATATCCTATAGCAGATAGGAAAGGAAATGGGTCTAGACTGGGAGTCTTGCTGTGGAGATGGGGAGTGACACATCACAAACAAACAAAATAGATGTTCATCTCTGCTTAAAGGAGTTTGCATCTCCAGATAGATCATCACCACTTATCAGAAGTTTGATCTCTGCTCCTTTTCTTTGAGGTGTTTTTCTTCTTAGAGAGATGATTTCATCCACTGACAAGTTCTTGTGTCCCCCCACAAATACCAGAATTGCTCTCTAAATCTATTTTAGCCTTTCATGTCATGATTCCCCTTCAAGTGTATGGTGTAAATACAAGAAAAAGAGAAGTACAGCCAGATGAACAAGTGGCTTTTCCCCCCCAAGTGAAAAGCTTAATCTGTGTATTTTCCAGGAGAGAAGGAAGTGACAGAGAGCTGTCCCAAAAGGAAGAGGAGATGAAGGAGAGGCAGAAGAGATGCAGATTGCAGGAGCAGCTGGAGCAGTGGCAGCCTCAGCGCTCGGTGTGTGGGAAGCAGCCCATGGCAGAGAACACCCCGCTCCTGTTCCACAGGGTCAGTGGCTCAGGGTGGGCTGGGCCTGCAGGGTGCCCTGGTTTGAAAAGCCAGGTGTCTGCTAAGGAAGGCAGGAGCCTCTCTTGAAATGGAAAATGTAAACCCCTTCCCTCTGAGTTATTGTAATTTTGAAATTAAGGGGCTCTCAGACAAAGATATGAGAATAGCAATAAGAGTTCTTTACTAGGAAAACTAAAAAGAAATACAAATGCAATAGTACAAAAAGAAAAACCACTGCCAGAGTCAGAATAGGCCCTGACCCCCCGTGGGTCAGGGTGGTGGCACAGTCCCATCCCATGGGGGCTCAGCCCTCCTGCAGTGCCAGCTGTGCTTCTGCTGGAGCAGGGATCCTGCACAAGGGGGGAGTTTTCCTCTGCAGCTCCAGGGCTGCTGGAGATGGGCCTGCTCTTCCTCTGGGAATGCAGGGCAGGAGAAAGCTGCTCCTGTGGGAATGCAGGGCAGGAGAAAGCTGCTCCTCTGGGCATGCAGTGGGCAAAGGCTGCTGTGCTGTTCCAGGCTCAGATTGTATCCAGGTAGGAATGCTTGGCTCCTGCCCTGGGCGGAGCATCTCCCCATGGGATGCTGGAATTTGATCCCTGCCAGGGGCAGCTGGGAGCAAAATGTCATTTTTATTGCATTGTTTCAAATCTGTTTGTTATGGAGCACTATTAGTTGAGGAGAGGAGCAGCCCTACAGCTCTTCTCTCACACTAAGAGAGAAGAATTCCCCATTTTTCTGTGCAGGGAGAGCTCCCCAAGCAGCTGCCCTCCAGTTCTGACCTGCTTCCTGGAATCAGTGGCCTCAGTGTCATCTACTTCACAGCAGTCTCCCACATGATTTTTCACAACTTTTCCTTAAAAAGTGAAATGTTTTTACTGTTTCTGCTGTTGTCTGCCCCCAGCAGCTTTACAGTTCACTTTTGTGGACTGGTTTTGAGGATTGTGGGTTTAACAATAGGTTTTACTCCTGATTAAGGGGGTATGAAATGATCTTGATTTTAGTTTGGAGGACAGGGGTGTTGTTACTCCTCAGAAGATTTCTCTCTGTCCCTGCCCTCAGAAGAGGGCTTGGAATGAGATGAGCTTTAGGATCACTCCCAACCCTTTCCATGATTCCATGACAAGCAGTCCTGCTTCATCCATGCACTGATTCTGCTGAACACAAGGCCAGGTGAGAAGGTCAGAGGAGGTGAGAAACTGCAGAACAACCATAAATCCACCTTAATGATTTATCTGGGCTAATGCCAGTAACAAAGCTCTTCTGTCAATACAAAAGTTGAAAGACTCCACAGCCCTAGATTTGGGGCTGGACCATTTAGGTTTGTTTCGTAAATTGATTGCTGTGGTTGTGGAGATTTGAAAGCTCATTTTATTTAGCACTGGATTAGTCAGTGAGGAGGAGTAAAGGACTAAAAAGCTCCCAGCTGAGTTTCCCTCTGCCAGCCTGCTTTGACAAGGACAGCACAGCACCCAGAGCTCTGCTTTGGAGTGTAGAAGTTGTGGAGCCTTTGGTTTTGCTCCTCCCTGGCTGTTGGCAGGTACCACTTCCAGTTAGCCCTTATTAAGATGCAGACACTCACTTGCTCCTCAGAAATCCACGTGGGCCTTGCTCTCTCCTTCCTGACAATGCACCAGGCAGTGCAGATTTACCCTGTGTTTGGTCATTTCCCATATTTGCTGTGCTGATGCCAATTAAATGAGGATGTGCTTTGTCTGGAGCAGAGTTCAGGGTGGATCTGTGCTGGAGCTGGAGCTGTACATGGTCCCCTAAGGGATGGGATGATGTTCCAGTTGTGGCAGCAGGGACAGGGGCATTTCTCACCAGCCCAGGCTCCTGCTGCCTGTGCAAACTGCTCCAGTGCCCAGAAAGAGGGAGAGGAAACTGTTACAGACAAGAGAGGACAGAGGGCAGGGTTAGGGTGGGATTTTGGGAACAAATTCTTCCCTGTGAGGGTGGGCAGGCCCTGGCACAGGGCAGTGTGGCTACCCCTGGATCCCTGGAAGTGTCCAAGGCCAGGTTGAAGCAGCCTGGGATGGCAGAAGGTGTCCCTGCCCATGGCAGGGAGTGGGATGAGAGGATCTTTATGGTTCTTCCCACCCAACCCATTCCATGATCCCAAACTAAGTGCCAGCCTGCTGCAGGGGACCTGCCCAACCTCCCAATGCACCAATGGTAAAAGGAAACCAGCACAACCCATAATAACCATGTTATCTGGGCAACTCTGCTCTTAGTTCTTATTCAGAAATATTCATTATTAAAATTAAGACTGAAAAATGGATCAAAATCATCTATCAAATGCAACAGTCCTTTATAAGATTACTTGCAATATGCTTTGATAGCAGCACTTTTTCCCTTTGAATTTGAACAGGGTTTTATTTTCTTTCTTTTCTTATGAACACAGACAAAAAAATTTTGACTGTTTTGACATTTAAAACTAAGAGCCCCTGTAATTTGGCAGCTATGTCTCAGTGAAAATATCTAATACCTATATATAAACACCTATATTCAAAGAACAAGCCCCAGTGTTTGACAGAGTAGCACACTTGCAAATTTGTTTTGTAAGTCCTTTGTTTTGGCAGTGATAGATGTTCAGATCTGGAACACTTGTCACAGTTTCCAGAATTCTTCTGACCATTTATAATGTACATAAATAATTGAATTGAATAATAATCAGAGGGAAAGTTTAGAAACTCTGCAATTACTGTAGCTGAGGTGCTGGGAAAGACTGGCAAAGGAAATTTAAAAAGCTGCATTAGGGTTACATTAGAGTTCTTTTCTAAAATGTAAAAGCAGATTTAATGTGCTGTCTCCTTTTTCTTAACCCAGTTCAGTCAAACTCTGTCCTCAGCTTCACTCTGAAAGTCAGGGCTGGGGAGAGGTAACTTGAGAGGCTGAGAATTCACTTCCAGGGCACTTCAGCTGCTGAAGAAGGGGCTGAGATCCAGTGGATTTTCAAGACATGCAGGTGCCAATTCCCTGGGAAATCAGTGGGTTCTTTCTAAGAATTCTGCCTGTCAGGTCCATGTCTGGAGGTGTCTGAATACTTGGGCAATCTGGCTCACCTCTTGGTTTGAAAAATAATGAAGGGAATAACCTGATTTTTTTAATGCTGTGTTTTGATTTTGTTTGTTTGTTTTCCCTTCTCTGCACCACCCAAACTTTTGGTGAAATTGAAGACTGATATGAGTTGATCTCTTCTGAAATTTGGCCCCCTAATCACATTTTAACCTTTGAATCTGGTTCAGAACTGATGCAAGCACCTGGAGTCCTGTGAAAGCCAGCAGAGTGGTGCTGTGATCCTCACTGCAGGGTCAGGCTGAATTGGTAGTTTAGAGGAACAGCTCAGGGTTTGTTTCATTATGTGAGCAGTGTTATTGATAAGGGAGACAGAAGGAATGCTCACAGGATGTAAAGCACTTAAATGGAGGATGTAAAATAAAGTGAGTTTGATCTGTCACTTCATTCATCTTGCTTATTGTGATAAGTAACTTGGTGCTGATGTTGTTTTCTGTCACATTCCCATTAGGTGGGATCCAGATATTGGTGGTAACTTTTGCCACACTGAGAGCTGAGTTTTATTCAGGTGCAGCACAAGCAGGTTATTCTAAGGATATCACAGGATCCCAGACTGGTCTGGGTGGGAAGGGACCTTAAATCCCATCCTGTCCCACCCCTGCCCTGGGCAGGGACACCTTCCACTATCCCAGCCTGGCCTTGGACACTTCCTGGGCTGCTGGGGCAGCCTGTGCCAGGCCCTCCCCACACTCTGAGGGAGCAATCTCTCCCAAATATCCCATCTAACCCTGCCCTCTGGCAGTGGGAAGCCTTTGGGGAAGACAAAGCAGGATCTGCAGCTGAGAGCAAGGCAGGCAGGGCAGTCCTGGCCAGCAGGGAGGGCAGTGCCACAGTCCCAGAGCAGCTCCAGTGAGGGTGGCCAGCTGGCAAACATGTGGGAATGAGGAGAGTCCAAGATGAAGGGCAGAAAGCCAAGGCAGGGGCAGGACCCAGGGGCAGCCCAATGATCACCCAGGGGGTCTGGAGTGATGGAACAGCACAGAGCTGGAGCCACAGTCAGAGCAGGGGCAGTGCAGGTGAGGGAGTGAGGCCAGGCAGAGGTAGAGCTGCTCTGCAGCTTGTCCAGGACTAAGGGAAATGTCTCTGCTGAAAAGAAGCTTCACAGAGCTCCTTTTCCAGCAGCCCCATGTGAAGTGAAACTCCTGAGCTTGTGTCAGACCTGGCCTTGAGCACTGCAGCCAAACCCCTGCACAGCCCATCCAGCCCTGGAATTCATTTAACACACAACAACTAGAATTTAGCTTGTACTTATCTCTTTTATTATTGGAAAAAGTAGGTGTTTTCAGCAGGGTTTCAGCTTGACTCTGCATTTATTGCTTTATCATGATATGGCAGAACAGGATGATGTTGTTGGAGAGCTATTAGGAGCCACCTTGTAAGCAGCCCCTTATAAACACAGTTTTATCTCCCTAACACAGCCAGGGTGGTTGGGAAATGAATCTGTTGACTCATACTGAGGCATCTCATTTTTCTTGGCATTCACAATCACTTGGGCTAACCTTGTATTAGTAATTATATTACCATGATCCTCATCTCATTGCAGCTTAGCCTTACAGCTGCCTTACAAAACAAAAACATCCAGACACAACAGAGTCATTCTACTTTAACAAATAGATGATGTGGGTACTTTCCTTTCCATCTTGTAAACACAGGCTCCATCACCATTTTGGCAAAATCAGCAGGTTCTTTATGTTAACACCCTGTTGACTCAGTCGCTGGTGTCAGGGAGAATTCTCAACCACAAGATGTTCCACTTGTATTGCAACAACACTACTTCTTTATAGAACTTGGTCCTGAAATCCTCAATGGTGAGGATTCCTTGAATCCCAGGTAGTAGATGTTGCTGTTTAATTATCCTTAGAGTTGTAAAGCTTTTCATTAAGTCTAATTTAAATTATTCCCTCTCCAATTTAAGCTTATTTTTG